GGACCGGCTTTCCTCGGAGAGGCAGGACTGGAGCCTCTTCTTGCCCTGGCACCCAGGCGGGCCCGGGGGCCATCTCAGCCCCAGCCATCCCATTCGAGGTCACAGAACACTGGGTGCCCCTGGGCCACCGTCTTCCTGACAGGACTTGTGGTAGAATGCACCTTCCTGCCCGGGTCACCCCTTGCTCGAGGGGGAAGTCCTGTGGACTCACCCCCAGAGTGCTTGGGACCTGTGACCACCACCAAGCTGACCTGTCTGCAGCTGCCACCCTCTGCCCCTGGGGGCTGGGGCAGCTGCCTCTCCCAGGGCCTCCTCTCGTCTGAGCCCTCTGCACAAGTCCTCTCAGGACTGCCCAGGCCTTGGCCTGCAGCACCTCATTCCCACCCCCAGCACCGCCCCCACAGTCTGCCAGCGCCCCCCCCAACCCCTAGCAGCTGAGTCCTCGCTGTGGCCCCAGGGACCCTTGGGGGCTCCAATCCCCCCTCCCCACCTGCCCTCAGGGACTCAGGCAGCTTCCTCCCATCCACACATTATCCCCACCCCACTGCCCCTTCCTCAGGGTCCTCGTCTTTGACGTGTGTGGGTAAAACTGCAGGATCTCCAGAATCTCTCCTGTCTTTTTTGCATCTCCATACAATGGGTGTTTCCTGGGGGTGGAGAGTAACATCTCCATATCAATAGGTAATTACCAGGGCAAGCAGGGATGATTATCTGGCCCCAGAGGCTGGGTGGGTGCTGCCTCTGCAGCCGGGTCAGAGACAGGGGAGAGCAGTAGACTGCTTCTAAGAAATAAGCAGGTTTCCTAAACTTTACTTCACTTTGACTGATTTCTGTTTTAAAGGTATTTTGCCCCTGGATTTTCCCCATGGAGTTACAATGTGACTTATCTGACAGACACATCTCCTTATCTTCCCATTAGACTCTCAGCCCCTCAAAGGCAGGGCCTGTTCACTGCTCTATTATGCTGGAGCACAGGCTGTCTCCTGGCATCATTGGTGGGTGATGGGTGTGGTCAGCAAGGCTGGACACACAGGGCAGGGCAGATGCCCCGGCAAGCAAGCACATCTCAAGCTGACCTGCGCTGTCCTGAGGGGGAGCCCCCAGGTGGTGACATTCTGGTGGACAGGAACATGGATACTGACAAAGGTGTCCAGCAAGGAAACAGCCGGAGAACTTGTCCTAGTGGCTGGGAGGGGCGGGGGTGGCAGAAAACCTGCAGGGCTGTGCTGGTCTGAGCCCAGAGCCCTGCCTGGTGAGAATGCTCCAACTGCGGAGCCTCTAGCTCACGTGGCAGGTGGGGACACAGCTGTGCAGATCCACAAGCCGGGAGTGGAGGTGCTCGTCTCCACCCCCCAGCATCACTGCGGATGGGGGTGCCAGCTGAGCTTGGCAGCCTGACAGGTTAAAAACCCTGTTTCCTCACACATCAGCCTCCCATGGCCCCCGAGGTGGATGAGGACAGAGGAGGCGGGAGAGGAACAGAGAGGGCCGAGTCCTGGGAGCTGATGGTTGGGACCAGGTGGGAGCCCCTGACCGTGTGGGTGCCCCAAGTCAGAGGGCTGCAGAGCTAGGCCCCGCATTGGAGTAGCTGTTGAGGTACCTGGATGTGCTCCGCCCCCCACAGGCATGCTGGGCCAGCAGCACAGACTGCCCCGTCCCCTTGCCGCCTCCTACTCCCTGCCCATGGGAGCAAGGCACTCCTAGCACCCCTGCCCAGGTCCGTGCATGCTGCAGGGAGCCGGGGGAGCTGGGACCCTTCAGGAGGAGCCCTGGCCATCCCGTCTACCAGCTGCATCTCTCTGGGCCAAGGTTCTTGCTGGCTGGGAGGCATGACCTCCACACCGTCCCTTGTGCGGAGGACAGTGCCCCGGGCAAGCTGGCAGCGGCCATGGCCTGGACCCCGTAGGTGGCTCCCCAGCCTTCACTGCCTTCGCTAAAGCCGCAGACCAGGTGGCGCCCGGGGGCCGAGGGGTAGTCCATCCAGCCAGGTGTAAACACCTGCCATGGGAGGCACTCGGCACCACAGGGCAGGTTGGCATGGCCGTTGCTGGGAGACCATCTGGAAGGGCCTTGGTGGCCAGAACAGTGGGATGCCAGGTGGATGTTAGGCCTTTAGCGGGAGAGCCGGGGCGGGTGCCAAAGGGGGCACATGGCAAGTCCCACCCTCCCTGATCTGGGCAGGGTGGCGGGACTGCAGGTTTAGGGGTGCCTATGAGCCCGGGGAGTGTGCAGGGGTGCAGTCGGACACCGCCGAACTGTTAACCACTGGACCCCGACGCTCACACGGTTTACACACACTCCAGCAGTTTAATGAATGCCTCCTGTCACTGCCAATAACTTAATTGTAAAATACACGGTTTTCACTAAAGCTTCAGCCTTACCGGCTGTGCATCTGAGCTCTCCAGGGACCCAGACGAGCCCAGCACTGGCCCCGGCAGGGAGCCGGGTGTGGGGGCGCAAGGGGCAGGGAGCCGGGTTGGAGGGCCAGCTCCTCCCTTTGGGCTTCTGGCTGGGGGCCAAGACCCAGGGCTCCGTGGTTCTTCTTACAATCAGGCGGACAGGTGCACATGCCCCCGGTGGGTGGGAGCTCAGCCATCAGCTCCTCTGGACCGGGGGTTTCAGAGCAACCTTTGGGCCAACTCCCTGGGAGGAGGAAAAAAACCTGATTTTAAAAACCAATGGCTACAATAGGCACCGCTCAACCTTACTTCCTTTCACTCTTCTAGAAAACTCAGTTTCCTCAGCAATGGGGCAGCCCTCGCACAGTGAGCATAGCCACAGCTGCGGTGCTGACTGCCGGCACCCTGAAGGGCCTTTTGCTGCTTTGGCTAGTGGGAGAAAAAGATTCAGTGGCCAGTAGCCTGGCCATCGTGCTAGTCCTGCCGAGCAAGGCGTGACCTCACTGGCGTTCAGGCTGACCTACCCCTGATGAGGACCGGGAAGGCCACTGCCCTGGGTGTGGGGCTCACCTGGGTGGGTCCGGGCTTGGCTCCTGCAGCCCCAGACTTGACGGGTGGCACTGGAGGTGTGGAGGTGGGCCTCCTGACCACCTGAGAGGACAGACACACTGCTGCCTAGGGGTCCGGGCCCTGCGGGGGGAGGCATCTTCCCCCACACTTTGGCTGCCACCAGCCCATATGGCAGCACCCCACAAAGCCCCTACCCCACCCCAACGTCTCCTAGGAAAAGCTCTTCAATTGCCAGAATGTAGGTCTTCGGAGGTTCAAAAGCCATGAATTAACAACCAAAGTTTGCATTTGTTTGCATTCAGCTCTCCCAGGGCAGGAAAGGGGGTCTGGGATGGAAAGCTAAGGGCCCTGGCCTCACCCCAGCGCCCCAACACCTGGTGACGTCCGGTGTTTGAACGTCCCAGTAACAGAAGGGCAGCACTTGGGCGATGTCCGCTCCAGGCACAAGCTCCCTGCAACCTTTGCCTGGCTGTCAACACTTCCTTGGCAGAAATCTTACTGCCCAGTGCGCCCCCCACAACTCTTTTTTTCCATCAAAAGTCTCCTAAGACTATTTTTGCAACGTTTCTTAAAGTCTAAAATTAGTTAAAAATACTAGTTAAAAAGGAAGGAGAGAAACAGAGTCTCTTTTAAGCAGATGCCACCGCTACAGCCAGGCTTCGAGATCAGCCAGAAAGGGTTCAGGGCAAGTCCAGAGGCCGGGAGGCAAGCTGCAAACAGGACCCATTCTCTGGGTGAGGCTGGGAGCACTGAGCCTCCTCTCACCAAAGGTCCAATGACTTACACTTGGGAGATTTTTCCAGAACCCCTACAGCCTCACAAACCCAGGGGAGTGCCCAGCCCCTCGCAGCACCCTTGACCTCCCCCAACCCACAGCTGTCCTGTCCTGTAGGTTCTGGCTGGGATGTGGGGATGCTGGGGGTCCGACCGCCCTGTGGCCAAGGGAGGGCACAGCACAGCTGGGGGCTCCTGAGTGGCCAGGCCTCTCACCTGCTTGGGCTTCAGCACCGGGAGGGGTTTGGCAGGAGGGACAGGTCTGAGCTGGCGGGATGGAGAAGGAACAGTCAGGACCTGCGGCCCCACGAATTCAGTTTATGTCCTTGCTGGGCTGGGGTGATCAGCCTTCTCAGGATGCAGTGGCCACTGCCCTGGGGGACCTGGCCCACCAAATGCAGACCCCAGACCCTCCACCTCCCAGGACCCTCCTGGTGCCCCCGAGATGGCCTGGCTGTCAGGCTCCCACAGCCACTCACCTGGCTTGGGGTCTGCTGGGTGTAGACGGGGATGGAGGGCGGCCTGGACATGGAGGCTGGAGGCTGCAGGGAAGAGCCATGAGTTTGGGTCCCACAGGGCTGCCCCAGCACAGGAGCCAAGGTTCCTGCCCTTCTCAGAGGGGGGGTAGTGAAGCCCTGTGTGTGCATGGGGGGCTCCACCTGCCCCACTGCCCAGCAGGCCCCTCAGCCACATGCACCCTCGGAGGTGCTGGGCAGCAGCAAAGGGTGGCGGGGGCTCATCGTTGCCCTCAGATGGACCCTCACGGGCCAAGTCTCAGGTTCTGTCAGCAGCTCATGCCTGTCCTTGGACAGCCCACCTACAGCCTGGGTTCCACCCACTGGCAGCTCCTCTGAGGCCTAGGGAGAGGATGGGGCAGCCCCCCGAGACTATGGGGCACCGACAGGACTCAGGTGCTTACAGCTGGGGGTGGCCGTTCTGTGGTCACCACAGAACCCCCGGGCCGGGGGCACTGGCTGGGGTGGGTGGTAGGGACTGGCTCCAGGGGTCCTGCAGTGGGGGCCAGAGCCCCGCCCTTGGCTGTCGAGTGGTGCCCCTCCTGGAACAGGGGGTTGGAGAGCCCCACAGCGGTCTTGGGCGTTGAGCTCCTAGGGAGAAAACAAAACAGTCAGTGCATTCTGCCAATAACTTAATTGTAAAATACACGGTTTTCACTAAAGCTTCAGCCTTACCGGCTGTGCATCTGAGCTCTCCAGGGACCCAGACGAGCCCAGCACTGGCCCCGGCAGGGAGCCGGGTGTGGGGGCGCAAGGGGCAGGGAGCCGGGTTGGAGGGCCAGCTCCTCCCTTTGGGCTTCTGGCTGGGGGCCAAGGCCCAGGGCTCCGTGGTTCTTCTTACAATCAGGCGGACAGGTGCACATGCCCCCGGTGGGTGGGAGCTCAGCCATCAGCTCCTCTGGACCGGGGGTTTCAGAGCAACCTTTGGGCCAACTCCCTGGGAGGAGGAAAAAAACCTGATTTTAAAAACCAATGGCTACAATAGGCACCGCTCAACCTTACTTCCTTTCACTCTTCTAGAAAACTCAGTTTCCTCAGCAATGGGGCAGCCCTCGCACAGTGAGCATAGCCACAGCTGCGGTGCTGACTGCCGGCACCCTGAAGGGCCTTTTGCTGCTTTGGCTAGTGGGAGAAAAAGATTCAGTGGCCAGTAGCCTGGCCATCGTGCTAGTCCTGCCGAGCAAGGCGTGACCTCACTGGCGTTCAGGCTGACCTACCCCTGATGAGGACCGGGAAGGCCACTGCCCTGGGTGTGGGGCTCACCTGGGTGGGTCCGGGCTTGGCTCCTGCAGCCCCAGACTTGACGGGTGGCACTGGAGGTGTGGAGGTGGGCCTCCTGACCACCTGAGAGGACAGACACACTGCTGCCTAGGGGTCCGGGCCCTGCGGGGGGAGGCATCTTCCCCCACACTTTGGCTGCCACCAGCCCATATGGCAGCACCCCACAAAGCCCCTACCCCACCCCAACGTCTCCTAGGAAAAGCTCTTCAATTGCCAGAATGTAGGTCTTCGGAGGTTCAAAAGCCATGAATTAACAACCAAAGTTTGCATTTGTTTGCATTCAGCTCTCCCAGGGCAGGAAAGGGGGTCTGGGATGGAAAGCTAAGGGCCCTGGCCTCACCCCAGCGCCCCAACACCTGGTGACGTCCGGTGTTTGAACGTCCCAGTAACAGAAGGGCAGCACTTGGGCGATGTCCGCTCCAGGCACAAGCTCCCTGCAACCTTTGCCTGGCTGTCAACACTTCCTTGGCAGAAATCTTACTGCCCAGTGCGCCCCCCACAACTCTTTTTTTCCATCAAAAGTCTCCTAAGACTATTTTTGCAACGTTTCTTAAAGTCTAAAATTAGTTAAAAATACTAGTTAAAAAGGAAGGAGAGAAACAGAGTCTCTTTTAAGCAGATGCCACCGCTACAGCCAGGCTTCGAGATCAGCCAGAAAGGGTTCAGGGCAAGTCCAGAGGCCGGGAGGCAAGCTGCAAACAGGACCCATTCTCTGGGTGAGGCTGGGAGCACTGAGCCTCCTCTCACCAAAGGTCCAATGACTTACACTTGGGAGATTTTTCCAGAACCCCTACAGCCTCACAAACCCAGGGGAGTGCCCAGCCCCTCGCAGCACCCTTGACCTCCCCCAACCCACAGCTGTCCTGTCCTGTAGGTTCTGGCTGGGATGTGGGGATGCTGGGGGTCCGACCGCCCTGTGGCCAAGGGAGGGCACAGCACAGCTGGGGGCTCCTGAGTGGCCAGGCCTCTCACCTGCTTGGGCTTCAGCACCGGGAGGGGTTTGGCAGGAGGGACAGGTCTGAGCTGGCGGGACGGAGAAGGAACAGTCAGGACCTGCGGCCCCACGAATTCAGTTTATGTCCTTGCTGGGCTGGGGTGATCAGCCTTCTCAGGATGCAGTGGCCACTGCCCTGGGGGACCTGGCCCACCAAATGCAGACCCCAGACCCTCCACCTCCCAGGACCCTCCTGGTGCCCCCGAGATGGCCTGGCTGTCAGGCTCCCACAGCCACTCACCTGGCTTGGGGTCTGCTGGGTGTAGACGGGGATGGAGGGCGGCCTGGACATGGAGGCTGGAGGCTGCAGGGAAGAGCCATGAGTTTGGGTCCCACAGGGCTGCCCCAGCACAGGAGCCAAGGTTCCTGCCCTTCTCAGAGGGGGGGTAGTGAAGCCCTGTGTGTGCATGGGGGGCTCCACCTGCCCCACTGCCCAGCAGGCCCCTCAGCCACATGCACCCTCGGAGGTGCTGGGCAGCAGCAAAGGGTGGCGGGGGCTCATCGTTGCCCTCAGATGGACCCTCACGGGCCAAGTCTCAGGTTCTGTCAGCAGCTCATGCCTGTCCTTGGACAGCCCACCTACAGCCTGGGTTCCACCCACTGGCAGCTCCTCTGAGGCCTAGGGAGAGGATGGGGCAGCCCCCCGAGACTATGGGGCACCGACAGGACTCAGGTGCTTACAGCTGGGGGTGGCCGTTCTGTGGTCACCACAGAACCCCCGGGCCGGGGGCACTGGCTGGGGTGGGTGGTAGGGACTGGCTCCAGGGGTCCTGCAGTGGGGGCCAGAGCCCCGCCCTTGGCTGTCGAGTGGTGCCCCTCCTGGAACAGGGGGTTGGAGAGTCCCACAGCGGTCTTGGGCGTTGAGCTCCTAGGGAGAAAACAAAACAGTCAGTGCATCCTGGCCTTGGGGTCCAGCCCAGGGACTAGGGGGCTACTGGACATGGGACCCCACATGGTGTGCAGGTCACAGCCACACAAATAGGGAGAGGCAGCCTCATGTGCCCCACCAGTGACGTGTGTGCTCCACCTGTGACTCACGTGCCCCGCCAGTGACGTGCTGATTCTCTCCTTCCTGAAACGGCTGTGGGGCGTTCCCAGCAGGGACAACAGGAAGGAACTCTTGCACACGCAGGGGTTTTGCAACTGAAAGCACTCACCTCCAGCGCATGCGTCGCCAAGCCTTGAGGTAGATGACCACGCCTGCCAGGGTGAGCACCAGGGCCACCAGGAGCAGCACAGCCACCAGCACGGCCACAGGGCGTCTCCTGGACGCTGCAGGCACACAAGGCCAGGCTCAGGCTGTGGGGGCTGGCAGGGCCCTGCCTGGCCAGCCCGGGCCGAGGAGGGGCACCTTCCTCAGACCCCTCCTTGGCTGGGCCCAACAATCCAGAGCCCGGGCTCCTCCCCACAGCCGAGAGGCTGTCTGAGGACCCTCGGCACTAAGGCCCCGTCCATCACACCAGGCCTCCAGGCCCTCAGGCGACCCAGCAGAGGGCTTGCTGGTGGGTGGCCCTAGGCCCACAGTGATGTGGGCATGGCCTGGCCAGGCTCTGGAGGCCTTGGTGGTGTGGGCAGCTGCCCGCTCAGTGGCCAATGGAGAGGGAGACGCTTGTGGGGGGATGGCCCCAAGGTTCCTGGGCTCAGGGGATAGTTGAGGACCCCACAGAGGAGCCAGGGCTGCCCTGTCACCCTACCTGCACCCCTCCGTCCAGGACAGGGCCTCCCTTCACATGTATGGCCACTGGCTGCTGGGCCTGCCCTAGACCCATGGGGTCAGAATGCTCAGGGGGTGCAAACCCACGTCTTTAACAATGCCCCTCATGGCCTCAGGCACAGGGCTTCCTTCTCAGGTCTGACCGGGTGGTCTGAGGAAGCGGGACCCTGGCCATGAGTGTGAAAGCCCTGGGGTGGGCCGGCCCTACCTGGCCGTTTGTGTGACAGCAGCTCTATGCAGTGGGGTGGGGCCCAGCCTGGCTGGCAGTGGCACTCCCTCTTGTGGTTGCACACCTGTGGGGGGATGACCAGGGATCATCTGCGGCACCGCCCAGCACCATCAGCCCTCATGGACGCTCTCTGCAAGGATGCCCTCTGCTACGGTGCTACCAGGCCTGACCTCAGGCCTGCAAGGGTCTCTGCTATGACCCTCACTGATGAGGACAGGCAGGGCTCATCCTAGGGCCTGGCTCTGAGTTTAGGGCTGCCTTACTTAGGGCCCTGCCACAGCTGACCAGGCGTGGAGCAGGGCTCTGCCCCACACCACTAGGATTCCCAAGCAAAGCGAGCATATCACAGGAGAAGACGCAGGGAGGTCTTCTCTGGGATGGTGGCTCCCCCATCGCCCACACAGCTGCGTGGGTCACTGAGGCCCTAGGGCACTCCCACATCTCCAGACAGAATGTTTCAGATCTGACCTATTCCAGTCCACATGTCTACCCACGTGTCCACCCACACAACAGGCCAGGCTGTCTGCATGGGACAGACACCCAGACCCTCAAGAGCATCAGGCCCGAGGCCCCAGTGGGCTCCGAGTGGCCCAAGCTCAGCCTACAGGTGTCTCAGAGCCCATGGAGAGACAGCAGGCTGTCCAGTGGCCACGTACCCCGTGGTTGCCGCACTGAGCGGAGCAGTTTCTGGCTCTGTAAACTTGCAGGTCCTGGCAGTGTCCTTTCCAGCAAACCTGGAGGGCCGTGGGGATCTCCTTAGATATCCAGTCTAGACTCCTGCTTGAAGGCCTGACCCCTACGCCCCACCTCAGCTGAGGGTAACCAAAACCTGCAGGCTGAGCTTTGGGGTAGGGACACTGTGGCCAGCCCATCCAGGATGACCACCTGCTGGCCACCAGGGGCACTGAGGACGGGCCCCACAGTCCTGAGAGAACTTGCAAAGGTAAAGGCCTTCGAGCCACGTCATATGGGAACAGGCTTCACCAGCAGCTCCCTGGGCACCTACCCAGTCCTCCTGCTGCCCGCCCTGCTTTTTGGAGCACATGAGCTCGCCTGTGAGGGACACACGTCAGGGACCTGGGGTCCAGCAGCCTGGCCACCACGTGGTGCATGTGTGGGTTTGTGTGAGTCCCGGCCCGCGGGAGCCCCTGGGAGCTGCAGCCGGCTGACCCCTCCACAGCGGCGGCCCCGGGTACTCACCTTCTCCTCACCGCACTTGGTGCCTTCAGGCACCGGCTCATACTGGGTGCTGCGCACCCTGCCAAGTGCCTGGCAGGATGCCAGGTGGGATGAGCGTGTGCAGGAGGTCCGCTCCGGGGGCTTCCACCCACCCTCGCAGAACAGGACTCCACATGTGTGGGCCCTGTGGACAGAGGGACTTCGCGTGGAGCCAGCTCTGCTGGGTCCCACTGACCCTGCTTGGGGTGCTCCCAGGAGCTGCGGAAGATGAGGCCCAGGCCCCTTGGACAGGCTGCAGGTCTGCTGATGGGCAACCACACCCCTGTCCTACCTCCCACGAGGGCAGCATACTCAGCCCTGGGGGTCCTGGATAGCAGCAGGATGGACCCCATGGAGCACCCCTTTACTCAGGCCTGGGACTCCTTTGTGCAAAGAACCCTCTAAGGCAGCCCCACTAAGGCTTCCATGTCCTGGACACTCACCTTCCAGAACCCAGGGGGCTCCTGCCCCTGCAACCTGGCAGGATGCCGTAGGTGTAGCACTCCTCTGCAGCGACCCGGGCGCCTGCTGGGCCAAGAGCAGGTCAGGCCCTGCTCAGGACCCCCAGCCACCCCCAGGCCTGCAGGCCACCCAGCCGAGGCTTGTGTCCCTCACCTGGCCCCCACAGGTCCCGGCACCTCTGGGCCAGTGTGGGGCAGCTCCCATCATAGCAGTAGCCCCCTGGACAGGGCGTGCCGTTCTCCTGAAAGGCGTCCTCTGGGCACCCTGGCGCCTGGCCGTCACAGTATTCCTCGAGGTCACACCTGTCCCTCGTGGGGCGGCACAGCTCCCCAGCTGGCTTCACCTGACCCAGGAGAGCGAAGCTCACCATAGGCACAGCAGGCCTCAAGCAGATGTGGGCCTGCTGCCCCATCCTGCGTCCCGGGGCCCCTCTCCCCGCTGGCCCGGGGCACTCACCCTGCACTCCTGGCAGCAAGCACCCTGGGCGCACTCAGCCCCCACAGCCAGCTGGCAGGTGGTGGCGTTGCAGCAGTGGTTCTGGCAGTCCTGGGGGGAGGGGGCAACGGCCAAGGCCTGAATGGCTGCATGACCCTGAGGACCCAGGGTCCAGCTGCCACACCCCAGCCCCAGCTTCGGCCCAGTGGCTCCCTCCCAAGGACCCAGTGGCTGTTACGGGGGTCAGCCATGGGTACACAGGGCACCTGGCAGGTAGGTGTGGACACCCTAACCTGAAGGCTGGGGAGCAGGGGGGTGATGGCACCTGCCCTATACCTGGGGTGGGCCACAGTCACACTGCTCGCCCCGCTCCACGAACAGGTTCCCGCACACGGGGCCGCCCAACAGCCGGTCAGGGTCTGGGGCATTCACCAGGCAGGCCGTGTGGGGCTTCTCCACGAACACCTCCAGGTCGGCCCGGCTGCAATGGCTGAACATCCTGGGGAACTGGGAGCTGCGTCGGGGGAGCTCAGTCAGGAGAGGCGGGGCACACTGCAGGGTGCCTGCTCTGCAAGCCCACGCCAGGCTGGGGGGCCGTCCTACCCGATGCTGGCCGCCATGACGCAGCCACCGCCCTCCCGCGGCACCGGGCAGTAGCAGCCTTGGACGTTCTCGTCGTGGTCCATGCCCAGGTTGTGGCCCATCTCGTGGGCTATGGTGGATGCCACACCGACTGGGTGGTGGTGGTGGTCCTACAGGAGAGGCTGTGCTGGCCGTGTGGCACCTGCCCACCCACCCACCCTGCCAGCCAAGGGGCCTGGTGTCACTCCACCAATGACAGCTCTTGAACAAAAACGAGTCAACGGACCCTCCAGGAGGCGGCCATTCAGGTGTGACCATGGGGACAGTGGGGGACAAGCACAGGAACCCAGTCCCGAGGTCACCCCCCATGTTCCCCTTTGCTCTGAGTGGGCTATGCACCCAGCCTGGCCAGCAACCCAGGCTCGTGCCCTCCGCACCTGGTTCACAGCCCCTGAGTCCCAGGAACACATGGAGGACACCCTGGCCAGGCCCACGGTGGTCCCGGTGAAGTCAATGCCACTGCGAACAGGAGTGATGTTTGCCTGGGACCCCAAAGCCGGGCCCCTCTCCCCAGCAGCACTCCCCACCTGCCCTGGAAAGTGGCCTGCACCCATGGTCGACTCACGTGATAAGCTGTGTGTTGTCATGTGGGTGCCGCCCTGCCAGGCTCTGCGCCCGCCAGGCCAGGAAGTTCTCCAGCGTGATGTTGGCATGGGAGCTGACATGGATTTTGTCCCCACTGTTCCAGACCTCCAGACCCACCAGGACCACGCGGAAATTGAGCTCCTGATAAAGCTGGGAGGAGACAGGGAGCTCAGGATCAGGCTCCAGGGTGGGAAGGGCCAGGCCCCAGGGCTAGAGCTCCCCAGCCAGGCAGGAGCAGACTCAATCTCCCTCCCCACATGAGAACCCTACCTGCTGCCTTCCTCCCCAAACAGGTGCCCCGAGACCTCTACAACCAGGGCTGCTATTGGGCTGAGTGAAGCCTGGTTGGAATGGTGCTTTGGTACTAAGGGCCCCGGAGCCCCTCAGGGTGGGAGGGCCCCCACCTTGTCCACGTGGTTCACCACCTCCAGCACTCTCTTGTGCACAGCTTCTCTGCTCCCCAACAGCCGGAACTGGGGAGACAGCACACCTTCAAGCTGCAGCACCCACAGGTACCTCTCCACCCCATCTCCTCCCTGCCTCTGGGTCCTTCTGCTGCACCCCCACGCCACCCACCCTGGCCCTGGTACCTCCATGCTGTCCACAACCACAAACAACTCCACATAGCGGGTCTCTCGGGGTAGCGGCCAGTTCTGGGGAGCAGTGAAAAGGCCATCAGCTGCCCCAGCCCAGCCCTACTGGCCTGGGGTCCTGGAGCTGCCCCCAGCCCCTGTGCAGCGCTGGGGGAGCCAACCAGAAGGCTCCACAGCTGCAGGGGAGTGCCAGGCTCAGTCCACCAGCCACGGAATAGGCCCAGGCCCACCCCCACTCTGCCAGGCACACTATGAGTCTGGGGGATGCACAGGCCCAGTGGACAGGGCCCCAACTGGCCAGGGCCTGCCTCACCGGGGGCCTGAAGGCTGCTGAGATCCTAGGCCCCAGGACCTCATCCAGGCTGTGGTCGCTGACCCCACAGGTCCCGGCCTTCTGCTGCAGGTGCTCCGCCTGGTACAGCGCATGCTGCCCTTCTTCATCACTCCCACCAAGGGGCTCAATCAGGTGGACAGCTGAGCCGGCCCGGAAGAAGCCCCTGAGGGCAGAGGGGAGCCAGGTGGCTCTGAATTAGGCACCCTGCCCAGGAGGGACAGGAGGCCCCTTCTGGTGAGCGAGGGAGTGGTTCCACTCCACACTGGGCCAGGTGGCCCCTGGGGGGGTGATGTGCTGGAGAGCGCCCAGGGCCCTGGGGCAGCCCCAAGGCTCACGGAATCTTAGCTCCTAAAAAGGACCCAGACAGCCAAGTGCAGGTATCCCCTAATCTCGCCCCTTCCTTCTTAGCCCTGGTTTACTTCTCTGCAAAGTGGGGTGGGTGGCGCCAGGGCCCTGATGCTCTGATGCCCCTGCTGGGTCCGAGCACCCACCTGAGGCCAACACAGGTGCTGAGGCTGGCGGCCGAGTGCTCCTGCCCCTCCACGTGGCCCTGGTAGAAGCAGTGGTCCTGCAGGAGGAGGGCATGAGGGCTTCTCGGCCCAATCCTGGGACCCCCCCTCCCACACCACTAGCCGTGAGTGGCCACGAGGCCCCTACCTGCCTCGGTAGTGGCTCTATCACCTGGGAGCCATCGGCCGCCGTATAAGTCTCCGTGTAGCCTGAGCCCACCAAGTCCCTGGAGAAGAATCACTGTGGTGCCCGTCTGCCTCCCTTAAACCCACCTCTGGTTTGGAGAACAGGTTGGGCCAGGGAGCCGGCACCCAGGACACAAGTGTGCTGGGTGCAAGGGTGGGCAGCCTGGGGGTACTGAGAACCCAGCAGGCTCAGCCCTCACTCACCTGTTCTTCCGCAGATGCAGGGTAAAAGTGTGTCCTCGGGCCTCAAGGACATAGCTCACACTGTCGGGGTACAGTCCCTGAGCCAGGGGTAAAGAAGGGGTCCAGGGTGAAGGGCCCTGCTCCAGCCCACACCCACCTCAAACTTGGGGGCAGGAATACCACCCAAGGCCCTTAAGGCTGGGGTACCCAGCAGCAGCCTGGGAGCCCCTCAGAGGAGCCTAGGCACTCTCCAGTTCAGGCAAATACTAGCAGGCAGGGTGCCTGGGCTGAGCATGTGGGGAGCTCTGCCTGAACCTCACCAGTGCCCCAGACCTGTTTCCCACCTCTCTACACAAGAGTAACGATGAAACGCTTCTAACCCAGGCAGCAAAGGAGGTGGGGCCTGCAAGCAGCCTGTTCCAGCACCAGGCGCCCACCACTCCCACTTGGCACCGCGCTCCACTGGGGCTGGGGGCACGAGACCCACCTGCCGGCGGGGAACGCCCGCAGCCGGAGATGAGGGTGTGTGAGTGGCTCTGGGCTCACCCACCCCTCAGGATGGCATGCAGGCCTGTCACCAGACACCCAGTTTCAGGAATGCCCCCAGGCAGCCCAGGGACTTCCAGCCCAGCCCCAAACACCCTGAAAGGTGTGTCATCAGCAGACCCGTGGTGAGCCATGCCCTCCAGCCTAAGAGGAATCTGACTTAACCCCCCCACCCCCACCCCCCGCGTGAGTGAAACCCCAGCAGGCGGGGAGTGGCCACAGGTCTGGTTCCTGAAACAAGGCAGAGCCCTGCAAGCAGGCCCCCCCAGGGCTGACTCAGCCGGCAGCTCCTGGGCCGGCAGGGGGTAGCTGGGCAGCTGGGCGGGGCACCCCTTCAGGGGGCTGTAGAAAGGCTAGCCCCTTGCGTCCCACTGGGCACACCGTCCCTCTCACTGAATGAAAGCAGCTCTGAGGAGTCTTACCGAGTGGGAGGGCAGGGCTCTGCGGGCACGGGCTCCTGGCAGGCGCCGGGGCCACACCACCTCATACTGCTCCACGTGGGGCAGGGGGTCACTGGGGGTGACCACTGCGGGAGACACCAGGCTGGCCTGGGCGCGGGTCCTTGCCCCTCACCAGCCCTTGCGGATGTCCCCCAGGCTGCCCCAGACAGTGCCCCCAAGGTTGGGGGCTGACCTGGACATCCGGCCCTACCAAGGATGAACGGGCCCTGTGGGGGGCAGGCCTGCCACCTAGTACTTAAGATTACACCTTCCATCTCAACTAATCACATACTGCACCAAAGGGGAGGGAGGGGCCTCCTTGGCAGGTAGCTAGCCCAGCCCGGATGAGGAACTGACCGGTATGCACCAACAGATGGTGGAGCCCAGGCGAGGGCACCAAGAGGCTGAAGACCAGCCACTGCTTTGACCCCCTCCCCAAACGTTAATGGCTGTGTCTCTGCACCATTAACTTTCAGGTGTTAAGTGGTGGTCCAGGAAGTGGCCGCCTCCCCAGCTTGGAGTTGGGACACTAAGAAGCCCAACCTGAAGGCACCCCTACCAGAAGAGGTGGGGGCCGGGGCACAAGACCCTTGTGGCTAGACAACCTCCAGGGCACCCCCTGCCCCTCTGCTGGCCCACTGGGCCTCGACCCTGCCTCCCTGCTGGGTGGGAGCGGGCCATCACCTAGAGGCTGGGGCACACCCCAGGCTGGCGGGGTCCTCCACCCAGCTCCCCCCCAGCCCCGGCCCCTGAACTGAGCCCGGAGCACACCCAGGCAGCCGGCCTCCCTCAGGTCCCTTCTGAAGGTCCTGTCTGCCGCTGCTGGGGCCTCCCTGAGGGGCCACCTCTGCACACCAAGGGCACAGGGTCGGGTAAGCCAAGTGAGGGCGCCTGGGGACCCAGGCATGGCAGCACTCACCCTGCAGCCACAGCATGCCGAGCAGCCCCAGGCCAAGGCCGTGCATGGCTGGCGGGGGGTGGGTGGCACGACGGAACGGTGGCCAGGGCCCGGTCCAGGATGCGCTCACTGCTCCGTCCGGCCCTAGCAAGCTGATCAGAGGCCCATCCCGGCGCACCCCGCCCCTTGACCAGCCCTCAGCTGACTGCCAATCAGCCCCGGGATACGGAGGGCGGGGCCATACCTGTGGAGAGAGTATCGCTCCCCCGTCATTTTTCCAATTTCTGCTCAGTTTTGGGCCCCTAAGCTGTATCCAGCACGTGGTGAGAGCTTCAGGGACGGGGCTGAATTAAGGTGGGGTGCAGCACAGACTTCCCGGGCCCCTCCCTGGAGCGGTGAGGGGCCAGCCCCGGGGTGAGGTGTGGCCCAGGGGCCCTTGGAGAGGAAGTGTCTGTGAAAGGCTGTGCCTGGGTTTGAGGCAGGTGGGCGTGTTCTCTGACTTCCTGGGCAACAGAAAGCCCTGGGGTTCCTGCTGGCCAGGGGCTGGACCCACAGTGGGGGTCCTGGAGGGCAGGCATCTGTCATAAAGCAAAGCCACGTAAACACAAATGCTCCTGACAATTTTACTTCTCTCCTCAGTCATGTTGCATATGATTTGAAGAGTTCGAAGGCAGCGAGTCTGGATCAGCAAAAACACAGCTGCTGTGGAGACACGCTTCCTCTCCCAGCTGACAGGCTGGCCTTAGGGCCGGCCATCCCCTACTCAGCCCACAGGACCCGCCACTGACCACTCCGCTCCCATCACCACTGGCTACCAGCACCCAGGACAGGGACACTGTTTCTGGGCCTCAGGGCCAGGCAGGCGGCCCCAAGCTGAGGGCCAGCAGGTGCCTCTGCTCACTGGTGAGCCTTTGAATAGTGCCACGACTCCGGAAAATCTGTGTCTGCACACATCACGCCTGCGCATCCTGCAGACTGGTAGGGAATAGAGCCCCCAGCTGTCCCCCTGCAAGGTGGTGGCCAGGGCAAGAGCTGCCCACACTCTGCCCCATGGGGACAGAGCTGTGAAGCCTGGACTGTCTCGAGGAGCCCTGCCAAGATCACCTGGAGCACGTAATCAGAATGGAACTTCACAAATCACTCACACGCACGCACGCACGCACGCACACATCAGCAGATAGGGGAGGCTTGGCCAGGAGTGTGGACAGAGGGGCCTAACTGGGGGGTAGGCACAGGGAGGGCAAGTGATCCCAGAGAGGCCCACAGCAGGAAGGGAGGGGCACCACACAGGAGCAAAGGGCCCCGGCAGGCACACCCACGACCCAATCCCCTCATCCCATCGGGCTGTGCTGTCCCCTGGTGCCCAGAACAAATGCAATGGCTGAGGGCTACTGGTGCTGAGGCGGCCCAGCCCAGCTCTCTGGATAGCAAGCAGGGGGACTGGGCCTGGGTCTGGTCCCATGAGACCTCCTGATAATATCTTCAGCCTGCCCAAATGCTGTTTCCACAGTCTTTGAGGCCAAAAACATTTTGAAAAATGACCCTCTCCACCTGAGGAAGCACAGGGCTAAGCAAGCCCATGTAGACAACCGTGTGGTCTGGGGGCTCTCCGAGGCAGCCCACCCAGAGCAGACGATGAGCTGAGCAGACCAGCCTCAGGTTTTTATTTAGACGGTACACACAGCAAGGTGCAGCCAAAGCTTCTGAGCCCTTCCTGTGGAGCACCCACGGGCTCACTGCGCAGTGACGGCCACCCTGGGCACCAGGGAACCCCGCGGCACAGGCACATGGGCCGCCGCCCTCTGGCTCCTCTCTGCAGACAGGCGCTCCAGGCGCTCGGTGTAGAAGCCGTTGAAGTCGAGCCTGCGGGCAGGAGGGGTGGTGTGGGGGCGTCTCCCTGTGGAGGTGAGAGGGACCACAGGGGTAGTGGGTGGGATGGATGGAGGTGGGGCCACCCCACCCACCTGGAGATGACGCTGGCCATGCCATGCTCGCAGTCGCTGGTGCTGTAGATGCTCAGCCGGGCCAGCAGGTCAAGCAGATGAGCTGAGAAGTTCTGATCAAACTTGCTGATGGCGGCCTCAAAGCTGGAGGCTAGCTGGGGGGCATCCACATGCTCGGCCAGGTGCTGGAAGACAGACAGCTGAGTCCACTGGCCTCTGGCCCGACTGAGCACTAGCTGTTTGACTTTGATTTTTTTCGACAGAAATGGATTTTGGGAAGTTTTCATTTGGTAAGAGGTACAAAGTGAAATCATCATAAAATCCCCCAACTAGGGGATGTAGAGACACAGTTGGGGTGCTGGCACCCTGCTCTAACCGCCACACAGAACCAATATGCCAGCGCACCTTGTGTCTTACGTGGCTCAGAACCCTCAAGATGACAGCATGTCTTCTCCTGGCCACCTCCCCACAAGTGAACAGACCAGAGGACATGGGACCACGTCTGGGCTCCATCCAGGGCTAGAGTGGACCTGGGGCTGACCCTCAGGATGGAGCCACATGGCCCTTCTTAGTTAGTGAGAGACTTTATCATAGGGACAGCAAGGCCACAGCCCCTTGCCTGCTGACGGCCAGGCCCTCTGCTGGGCACCCTGCGACTCAGTCACACCAGTCCTGGGCATGCCCTCTGGACACCCAGAGCCTCGCCTCCAGCACACGTCTCTGTGGCTAGCGTTTAGAGTCAAAGGCAAGACTCAACAAGAGCGCGGCCACAACACCATCCATGTTGCCAGGGACAGGGAGGCCTCACAGACCGACCGGCGGGCGCGCACCTTCCTGGCGAGCTCCTTCCGGGCACGCTCCTCGGCCCGCTCGGCCTCCGTGGGTGGCCCCAGCATCGTGCCATGCTCCAGCGTCGGGCGGCCCGGCTCACTGTCTAGTCTCATGCTCTGCGTGAATCTCTTCGGATTAGGAAGAGACGCCTGTTAGTCACCCCCAATTTGCTCCAAATGAAACCCTGGCCGCTGTACATCTGGGCCTCTGCAGCCTCAGGGGTCGCTTCACTCAGGGAGGCCGCCGAAGACGGCCCACTGTGTCACTGCATTCCCACACCTGATCCAGAGCAGGACTAACTGCTCCAGAGATGGTTTGTGTGTGGCGTCCCCCCAGTGGGCTCGACATCCAAGGAGCTGGCACACCCGCTCCCATCGCCTCTGTAACCAGCCACAGCACGGGCTCTCCTGTTGCCCTCAGGCCCTCCCCAGTGCCCTCCAGCCCTAGCAGACCTGTGTCACCACCTCTTCCCCCATGTTTATTTTGTGTTCTTGTATTTGAGCACTGCAAGCAACATGCCCTAACGCTAACCCAAGCTCTGACAACAGAGCCCCACGTCAGAACCAGCAGACAGGGTCCCTTGGCTGCCGGCCTGGCGCTGCACACCTGCATGCAGTTGGTGAACATGACGCACACGGACATGAGCTTGGAGAAGGCGCGCAGCAGCTCGGGGTTGGTGAGCATGCAGTCCTTCAGGCAGCTGTCCAGGAAGCCCGTGTGGTGTGCCAGCACGTCATCAATGTTCCGGGCCTGGCAGAGGGGACCCTGCTCAGATCAGGCCCCACGGCCAGGCCCGTGGGCTTGGCACACTTCTGTTCAATTTTCTTTTTTAAGTGATCCTGTGGTCTTTTGGGGGAAAGCTTCAAAATTCCACTAGAAGAAAATACTGAACATGGTCCCCAGACAGGTCCCAGATTTGGGCCATAGAAGACAGAATGCAACAGGAAATTCTGCCAGTGGCCACTTTCTGCCTCTGGAGTCTGGTGACAGGCGAGCCTTCTGGCTGATGGGCCCAGAGCCCAAACGAGCCGCACTGGTGGCTGGGAGCCTGGCAACCACGCCCTCCTCTGGCACAACCCCTCAGGTCCCCCACTCGCTCATGCTCCCCGCGGCATGGAGCCCGAGCTGAGGGGACAGGCTCCCCACGGCTCTGAAAGCCGTCTCCAGCTTTGGGACAGCTTGCCGCTGCCATCTCCCAACACCTGACCCGCTGGTCCCTGGACCCTCCATGGAACGTGCCCTGCTGGCAGCGCCTGCTGACACCCTGCGCCACGGGTCCAAGACTCACGGACTTCAGGCTTTTCTCGAGGGTGTGCCAGGTGGGCTCCATCACCTCGAAGGCTGTGTAGTACTGGATGTTCTGGACAAAGTTCAGCATGCGTTGCTGCAGAGTGAAGGCGCCAGCAAGCCTGGTGGGCAAGAGATGCAGATGGCACATGTGTACCTTGGGCGTGTCCTGAGGCTTCCTTGACGCGCCCTGCTTATGGTGCCCACACATCCACTTTACCGCCATGTGGCTCTGCAGGCACTGGTAGGGACCACCTGAGGCAGCACCAGGTCCTTAAGGGCTGGTGCTCAGGCGTGACCAGCCTGCAGGCCTGCACGGGGGGTCGGGCATGGAGCCAGCGTCCCATGTGGTGGGTGATGGCCCCGCGCTGCTGTGCAACACAAAGCGCACTGTTGGACCTAGGCGGAACACACACCTGACCACGGTGTGGCGGCCATGAGTGAAGAGGAGACCCACTCTGCTAGGGCCAAGAGCGAGCCGAGACACGTACCACTTGGCTGAGCGCAGGGGGCGCTGCTTGGCAGCTTTGTTGCTGATCCACACACTGCACAGCTGGCGCTCCACGTGCTTGCAGTAGAACATGTGCCTGAAGAGCATCTGGTAGCGAGTCAGGGCTTTCCTACAACAGGGAAAGGCACATGGGACTTGGGCCCCTGCATGGCTGAGGGAAGCTCTGGGTGCAAGCAGACAGCACTTCGGGGTCGCTGACACACAGTTCTGCACCCAGCCTCCAGGCAGCTGGCGACCCCTACTGTGCACAGAAAGACGGGAAGAACTGCCCCAAGTGCCCCGCAGGATGAGGCAGTGACTGGGTGGGCACAAGTCTCTGTTCCTGGCAAACCAGAATAAACATCTGAAGCTGGTGCTCGGGGATCAACACTCACCGGTTAATGATCAGCGACAAGGGCCACTTGACTACATAGTCAAAAGAAAAGGCCTCCAGACCACTCAGCGTGAGCTCTGTGGGCTCAGCCTGGACCATCGCCTTCTCCTGCTTGGTCTCGATGGCCAGAACCCGGAGAAGCTGAGTGATGAGGTCGTGAGGCATCAGGTCAATCTTGGCGAAAGGGAAATAAAAAAGCGTCAGGGCTTGACACCCACCAACCCCACACCCAAGCTAGAAACCCAGACCCAGGACTGAGCTGGTTCCTCCCAACAGGGACTCTAAGTCGGGGAGGCTGGCTTAAAAAACTGAACACCTACTGATGAGCTTCATTTAAAAAAGTAATCACTTTCATTCATAAGAGAACAAAAAGTGCAGAGACTTGTTTTAAAAATACCCCGAGGGGTACAGAGGAAGAGCATGGGCAAGTCCACACCTGAATCCCTGGGGATTTAACCTTTACGCAAGCAGCAGGCCCGTGGGCGGAAGCCACATAAGTCACGCTGGCAGGCTGCCGTCTGGGGTGGCCCTACCGTGAGGTCATCCTTGAAGGGGTCTGTGTTGGCGGTGCTCATGCGCAGGGCCAGTTCCAGGAGCGCCTCCAGGCGTGGGGGAGCGATGCTGTCCACGGGCTTCTTCAGCTCCTCCTCAGTGAGGTCCATGAAATGCACGAAGAAGTCCCCCTGGTCCATCAGGAAGTAGCGTTTGATGGACCTGCGTGCAGGACAGGGGGGGTGGAGGTCAGCGCGGCTCCCAGGCACTGCCAAGGCGCGGGGTGTGGAGACGAAGTACTGGGCACCCCCACGCGGCAGCGCTTGTACCAAAGACATTTTTAAAAGGGCAGAGGGCGACTTGCACTGTTCACCATGTAAGAACTTACTCGCTATGTAAGAACTTGTTCGTTATGCTTCAGAAGATTGGAGACTGTTGAGAATTAGGCTCGGGGTTGATTAATGATTATGCATTGAGTCCTCTATACAGAATTTAATTGTTGTTAACAACCATTTGATCAATAAATACGAGAGATGCCCTCTCAAAAAAAAAAGAATAAGGGGGTAGGAGAATAACCTCAGGGGAGCTAATTTGGCTGGGGAGGGACGTTGGGCAAGCCATCTTTACGATGTGGCATTTGAGCTGAGTTATGGGGGGATGTAGAAATTAGCTAGCAATGAATGGAGGGTGTAGCCTTCCAGGGAGAGGGTACGGTGCATGGAAGGCCTGTAAACAGGCAAACATGTGGTACATTCAAGAAATGTAGCCCAAGAGTCATGAGGAAGAGAGAATAGCAGAAAGCAGGGCACAAGAGGCCAGTGGAGGCCAAGCGGCACGTAAGTTAGTTTGGACTTTATTCTAAAAGCTGCAGAGAGTCATCAAAGGCTTTTGTCTGATGTACATTCTAAGAAGATGGCTCTGCCACTAGAGTCTCACACACTGGCAGTGGGAGGTGTATGATAAAATAATTTCGGAAAGATGTTTCATCTCATTTACAAAAGCTGAATGTCTGCTGCTCCATGACCAAGCAATTCTGCTCCTGGGTAAATAGCCCCAAACTCTAAACTACCCAAATGCCCCTAAGAATAGAATGGTCAGGTGAATTATGGTATATAAGAGTGGAATATTACATTGCAATGAAAATGAGGAAACCACTGTTACCTGCAACAACTTGAATCTCACAAACTTAATAGTGGAGAAAA